GTTGATTATCCAGAGTGATTCTATACTTTTACGTTAGAACCACGGTCATGACCCTACACTTGTGTAATATAAATATGAATTATCAAATATGTCACTGAGAAACTTGAAAAAATCATATATTCAAAAATTGAGTTTGTACACCTACAAGATTGAGAGATATTATTTCTGACACCCGATTTGACGAGAAAAACTTCACTTTACAGTTTTCCAGGCCGTCTGAGGGGGTGAAAATGGGGTGGAAATTTGAAAAAATCATATATTCAAAAATTGAGTTTGTACACCTACAAAATTGATATATGTTATTCCTGACACCTGATTTGACGAGAAAAACTTCACGTCATAGTTTTCCAGGCCGTCTGAGGGAATGGTTTTATATGAAAAAAATTTAAAATTCTACCTAGAGCGGGTTCGAAATACTAGTGTAGTATATTAAACATATTGATAACTCAATCTACCGGGGCACTGAATTTATTTTCCACCCCATTTTCACCCCCTCAGACTGTCGGGAAAACAAACACGTGAAGTTTTTCTTGTCGAATAGATCATCAGGAATAACATATCCCAATTTTTTAGGTGTACTAAGTCGATTTTTCATGTTACGATTTTTTTAAATATTTCCACCCTATTTTCACCCCTTCAGACAGTTTAATAAACTAGGACGATTCTTTTTTTTTACTAATTCAGTCAATAAGCGTTTCATATTGAAAACTGGTAGGTGTGCAGAGTCGGTAAATGAAAAAATAAAAATTCTATATTTTTTTCTCAGTGTACTTCGTGGATGTGGATGTGGTTATTGCTTCTTCGTAATGTTTCGGCCAAAAACAACACAATAATCATGCCTCAGCTACCGTATTGACCAGATTTGCCCCTTAGCGACTTTTTTCCGTTACCAAGATTGAAGAAATACATGAAAGGACGGCGTTTTGTGGTGATTGAGGAGATAAAAACCGACTTGTTCAGAGAGATCAAAGGCATACCAGAAAGTGCATATCAGAACTGATTCGAGGATTGGAGAAACCGCTGGCATAAGTGTATTATATCTGAGCGGAACTAGAAATTGTTGCATAAATAAATATTCTTTGAGAAAAATGAAAATTCGACCCATTTTTGGAACAGATTAGTACTTATATACCAAACGAAAAATTTATCTGATATTTCTGTATTGCGTCATGATCAGTTTGCTATAAGACAGCTTCCAAGTAAACAAAATGTTAACTGACATTTTGAACAGAGTATCTTTCAACTCAAATTTGCATGTTAAACGTACAAACTTCTGAAATATTCATAACCCAATAGTTCTAAATAAACCAGAAACCTTGAGAATATAAATGATGTCGTTAAACTAAACAACCGTTGACAATGTGAGAGTTTTGGTTTTTGCTTTCTAATTTCAGTCTGAATCTGCATATTATTGCAATCAAAATTAACTACCTACTTAGCATTTTTATATTTATAAAAGTCTTCGACAGTTTCTACAATTTATCTAGAAACGACCTGGAATTGATATTATTGATTTTAAATCTGAAGAAATTTCTTGGAGAGTTATACCAAATTTTCCTCAATATGCTTTTAATCAGCATCAATATATTGTTTTGTGATGTCGACTACAACTAGCAAACATGTAATTTAATCTTTCTATACATATACCTAATAGTAGATAATCGTTTGGACCCAAAGCACGTAATATTGGTCAAACTTTCAGAACATTTAGGACTCGCATGCAAGAACATCGTATGAGCTATGTAAATGAGAAAACGAGTTCAACATATTCAAATTATCTTTCAAAAGAAAATCATATATTCAATGGATATTTTGAAATTTTACACATAGAACATAAAGTTAAAGCTCAATTATTTGAAAGCAATGAAAATTAATACACTTAAAATTTCAAACAGTTTACTGAATGACCAATTGGATTCAGATAGATCACCATTACTGAACTACCTTTGCATGTATCTCTCATTCATGCTTACGTGGCGTATCTAAATATTAGAGTATTTAATAGAATCAACTTTCAGTATGTCACTGACTACATGTCGTGATATATTTTTAGAAAATGGAAGTTTGTGTAGATCAAATCGTAAGATGTAGTCTATGAAATATTGGAACCAATTCGACTTTTGCCACTTTTGTGTGTATTGCGAATTTCATCATATCATTTCGTTTTCTGTTTCCGTATGAATTGGAATCTACAAGTATCTCTAAAGGTGTCGTGACTGATTTTTCAACTCTGTCATCAAAATTTTCGCCTATATCGATAGGAGTATCGATATATTTGCCAGAGAGGTCAGATAGAGATTCTTGAAATCTGCGATCTTTGGACCTGAAAGAAATAGGGTTTTCTAATGTAATCAACACTAAGTTGAAACTGAGATCATGCGGGTCGTTTTTCACGTAAAAAATTTGTTACTATGGATATGTTCGGCTGGTGGTGACTGGTGGTTGATCATAAGTACGTTCTGTTTGAATTTTTTCAACTAGGTACTTTTCAGTGCAAGACACAGGACCAATCTCATCAGCAGTCGATGTCGAATGTTGGCTTTGCTACTGACCGCCTTGGGAACCCTCTTTTATCCAGAAATATCCAAGTTTTCGTGAGAAGTTGAAGACGTTTTCGTTTTAAACCTCCGGAGTAAAGAAATTGGGAGCTACTTTTCCAAGAGAAACTCCATACCAATAAGCCCTCTTTCATACATTACTTTCTGAAACGTTCCCCGACTATTATAGGTCATTTCAGTACTTTTGCCTATCCCCTCTTGCCTTTCTCCGCTTCATCTGTTTAGCGTTTTTCCGCTTGATTACAGGTTTCCATATGTTGCGGTTATCTACCTAGCTTGGCTAAATGCAGCTTCTTTGAACTTTATCTTGAAGCAGTGTTCTCCCTGTGAATGATCTCAGTTTGAGACCACTTGCTGTTGTTCGTGAGTCCAAACATTCTTTACTTTGTCCGATTTGCTGGTTTCTCCTTGCTGTGAATTTCTCTTGTGTGGTCATTTTCATTTTTTATCGTGATTATTTTATTCGTTTTATTATGTTTCCATTCATTTTTTTTTATTTGGATGAGTTCTTAAGCAGTGAAGTTCGAGGTGTATTGAGTTGAACCTCAAAACAATTAGCAGCCACACTCCGTCGCGTATTTTTTATATGTACCGCTTTTGGTAGAATCAAGTCACTTGAAAACCTCCCGTGAAAGTATCTATAAAATAGAGACAAATCTTCAACCTTTCTTCGACGTGCGAGACTATCAAAGTTGCAAGGTTTCACGTTCTATTGCTCAATATAATTGATATTTTAGCTAGTCCTTCTGATTTTATTTGTTATTTCATAGATTTTGAATAATATTAGATAATGGAAGTCCGAACTAGTGAAATCCTACTTCACAGATGTTAGGTGTACTAAAAAATTGAGTACGTACCTACTGAAACATTAAATGTACCATTTGCCAATATTCGCCAGATGGTACCGTGTGAGAAATATTTATTTTCAACCAGGTTTGGCGACGGAGGTTTTTGTTTCATCGTCTGACCTTCCGTTTTTGCTTTTGAATTTCTTTCTAACCCAAGTAAGATATAATTTATTGACCACGACAAACCTGGTGTAAGTTGAGTGACCTATTTATTTTGTTAAAATTGATGTAAGATTTCGGATGCGAAATTTTTAGTTTTGGGATTCGTTATGGACTGTAGAATAAACTTGGCACCCTGAGAATCATTTACTATTAACCAGAACCCACACAAAATTTATACCTGTTACAGTATTGTGGGGTTCTGTAGAGATTTTTTTTTTCGTTTTCTTTTCAGTCAGAAAGTACACATTTTTGTGAATAATTTGTATCAAGTTTTTACTGATATTTTTTATTTTTCCCTTCTTTTCTTTCAATCTCATTATTTAGATATATAAATGCAGAAGTAAAAAGCCTTTAGAGTTATGTTAATGCTTTCCATTTAAACCAACATTTTTGCAGGCTATAGGTAAGTATACTCTCCACTCCGAAAAATAAAGAGTCGGTAAACGAAACTTTCGAGAGATATTTTCGGCGGAAAATCAATGAATTCCATTTATATAAAATCCATAAATATGTCAGATCTTCTGATAACAAAAAATCGCAGGCTTATCATCTGTATGCATATTGTAGCTACAGTAATAATTCATCTCAGACGTCATCCACCTGACCTACCTCTCTAAGATGGGGCATGTTATGAAGTACCAATGCATAGTCAGCGTAAAGTTCCATCCCCCTTATAACCCTCAAGTTTGGGAACAACTTGGCAACAGACGGTAAATGGTACACATCGAAAAACATCAAATATCCCGAAATCTTTGTCAACTCCGGAAACACGTATTCGTCGAACTCACTTTCGTGCTGCACTCTTTCCATCAGCAGAATTTTCAAAGAACCGACAATTTCCGTACAGTTTTTCAGATTACCTAAGTTCACTACTCTGTTCCTGATTTCCATAGACTGGCACACTTTTCCGGAACTGAAAACAGCACAGCACGACAACAGAATGAATGCGATACGAAACATCGTATTTTCGCGCTTAGCTCTACCATACTCATTCTTCTGTGTTAGGCGGGAAACTGATTCTCAAATTCTCAATGTCGAAAACCATAACACACTATCTGGTGCGCGGTGTTGCCGAGTCGGTAGACTCTGCTACATAGTAACGGAATTATTGGGGTAGGGTAGGTTTATGAGCGATTTTACATCAGCGTTACAAGTTACAACCATCAACAAAGTAGCTTAACATCGACTGTTTCCTTATTGAATTACTTGTTACCTGCGTTGTGTTCAACCATTCCTGTGTTAAAAAACGAATCAATAGAGTTTATTGTATGATTTTCACTATAAGGGTTTTACGAAAACCGCTACATGTGTTTCGCTACACAATACCTTCTTCAAGCATAACTGAGAGTTACTTCTAAATTACAACCTCATATACTATAACCTTTGATGACATTGTTTTGAACTATTTCTTAATAAAAAATGTTCTGCATTTGAATGAAAATATAATATATGACGTCCTCAGAGATCAGTACCGACCTTCACGGGGTACCCCTACCTGGCTGGGGTGGGATGGATGAAAAAACTATTCATCCGTCTACAACATAATCTGTAGCTTTCCTTACTAACGGATTTTCGTGAGTTTCCGCGCTATCAAAAACTTGCCGATTCCTCGACTGAATGGACTGCCGAAAGGAAGGCAGCGGCAAATCTCTGCGGATGGTTCCATTCCGCACGAACCAAGGAGCATTCACAATCATCCTCATTAACCTGTTTTGTAATCTCTCCAAAATGGAGATATTGTACGTAGCCGCTTGTCCCCAGACGCCTGAAGCATACATGATGACAGGCTTGAATATAGTACTGTAGATGGTTATGTTGATCTTTAAACTCATTTTGGATTTTCTGTTGATCAGAGGGTACAGACTAGCTATCCGACCCTCGATCCTTGACTCAACGCACATAATGTGCGGGTTCCAAGTGAGCCTGCGGTCTATTAGAAGGCCGAGGTACTTTAACCGCGCTTGCCAGTCAATCTCCCTCCCAGAGATTCTCACTTTTCTGGCCGGAGAAGATTTCAATATTTCCATGGTTATTGCCTGAGTCTTGTTCGGGTTCATTCGGATCTTTCAATCCAGGTACCAGCGGTTGAGATCGTCCAATGCACGTTGCATGTAGACGACGCCGAGCTCCCAACCCATGGAAGACGAGAGGAGAGCCGTGTCATCGGCGTACAGGGATATCTTCACACGCTCTGGCCTCGGAAGGTGACTGGTGTAAAATGAATACAACGTCGGAGAGAGCACAGCCCCTGTGGCACTCCAGCGAGGATCTGTTGTCAAACAGAGAGCCCTCTACTCTAACCTGAAATGTTCTGTCTTTCAGGAAAGACCTAATCCACCGGATCAGGTCCCGAGGCAGGTCGAACGCGATTGATTTGTGCAGAAGGCTTCGTGCCATACACGGTCGAAGGCCTTCGAGATATCTAAGAGAACAATATGCACTTTTTGTTGTTGTTAAGCTCGTGTTTTCGACCAGCCTTAGAGCCTGTAACTCAGTGGAGTGTTGCCTCCTGAAGCCAAATTGTTCATCAGGCAGAACATTTCGCTCCTCAACTTCTTCGTTGAACCTTTGGAGAACAACTCTTTCAGCCAGCTTAGCCGCCGAAGAGAATAGACTGATCGGGGGATAGTTCTGTGGGAACAGCGGGTTCTGACCCTGTTTTGGGGTCATGACGACGATAGCATGCTTCCACCTTCTGGGGCGGTATCGGAGGACCAACGAACTGTTTATAATGTACAGCTCTAGCTACTTGTCTGATAGATTGTCGATGATTATCCATTTGTACATGTCCTAAAACTGCTGCTTCAACTCCGTCATTTCTGACAGGACGGGATACTTCATATTTTCTGTTGTAAACAGAACATGAAGTTAGAAACTTATCCATCAACTGTTTAACGTATTGATGGCTCACTTTGTGGTCTGGATGATTCATATCATAAATTCTTGCATCAGCTTTAGCACATTCATTATTTCGATAACAGGTTGCAACAATTTGTATTCTTTCTTCAGTAGAATAAACCATAGTGGAACATAGAGAACAAGAATTTCACTAGTTCGGACTTCCATTGTCTATTATATAAAATGATTTGAAATCCCTGAAACAAGTAAAAAAGAATAATTAAAAAGAATAGTTGAAAATAACAATTATATTAAGCAACAATAAACCTGAAATGAAATGATAGTGAAATTTTTTCGTTTGATGATGGGTTTCCATATGTTTCGTATATCTACGCTGGCCTGGCTGAATACGTTGTTGGACAACATGTATGCGGCTTCCTTAAATTTTAGGATTTTTAGATTTTGTTTCAGGGATTTCAAATCATTTTATATAATAGACAATGGAAGTCCGAACTAGTGAAATTCATCACGAAACATTGTCAATCACCTTCAAACAAACATAGAGAACAAGGATGACTGAATAATAATTCGTGAAGAAGTGTCATTGGCCACCTATCTACTTTTTGTTCTGCGACAACTAGATTCAATAAAAACTACCAGTGCAGAAAAAACTAACAGTATCGTCCATTTCAAACCGTTTATTACTAATTGAATAAATTCTACAAATTTAGAAGACCTGCTACAGAGAATTGTTCGGAAATCGTTGATTGTGTTGCCACTGATATTACTTTTGTTGATTTCCTCAACAAAATGAGCGAATTTTCAGATTTTTCTTAAATAAAACGTTCAACATTTAATTTATCTATAACGAATGAACCAATTCCGAAAAAAATCACAGAAGTAATAGAGGGACAAAAGACCTTTTGAATGATGTATCACTCGACCCCCCAGTTCATTGAAAAAAATAGAGGGGTAGTTGTTGGCCACAGAGCGGTAAAGTTTCGGCTATGATTTCTATATCAGAATCAGACCCATTAGAAATGAAAATTGACGTGTACTTTGAAATCTTTGATTACACTTCCGTTTCTGACTTACAGGGGGGGGGTCAAGGTTTCGTTGATACGCCCTGTAGATCGATTAGTGTAGTGTATATTAAAGTACTCGTTAGTGGAATAAAATGGATTTTCGAGTAAAAATGATTCTGCCTCATTTTTGAATGAATTCTGACTTGTGAGGTTTTTGATGTCGATATGAAGATTATTATATTTCATAGACATTATGTGAGGACCTCTTGAAACAATAGATGAGTGATGAAGTGGAATCGATATGATCTGGTTTTCGCGAAGATTATATCCTGTAGCTTTTCTGCTTGTGAAGTTTTCATTGTGTGGTTTCACAAAGATGCAAAGTTAAGATTTGAGAATAAATCCCTACATAAGTCTCTGGGACCCTTGAAAATCATAACCCTTACGATTTTCTTTTGAAGAACTAATACTTCATTGATTCTGATTGAATTTCCATAGCAAATTGTGCAATTATTGATGGTGGAGTGAACATACGCATAGTAGTAATTGAGTAGGACGTTCAGAGAAACAGTTTTTCTAAGATTCCATTGAACATAACAGTGTCTAGATAGCTTGTTAGGTATGCTGCACTGAACTGACACCTGTCAGATATAATCCAATGCCCTTCGTGGTATTAGCCAGTGGAGGATTTGCTTTCTTATAGGTGTCAGTCTCGGTAACCAGTGTAGGTAATTTGGGACTGACCTGAACGAATTGCTGTTTTAGATAATTCAATCATAATTTATCTTGCTCTTCGACAACTGAATAAAAATGTGTTTATATATAAATTTTCATTGTATATTTTTTCCAATTTCTACACAATGTAACAGAAACAACCCTGTATTATATCTTGAGGAAAAACAATTTATTTATATTTCATTTCAAATTCTAAAAATGTTGTTCTCCTTCACTACACCATTTTCACTTGTTTATTTTTGTGTTTAGACTTATTATTACTCATGAACTAATTGGGAAACGATGAAAACACTTACGTATCAGATTATATTTTCAATGGAAATCTATTCTGAGACCTTTTCAAAAATAGCTCCAAAAAACAGATATGTTATTTACCAATTATCGCACTTGCAATGTTCCTGCTTGAGTAGAAAAAAATTGTTAGTCAACTAATGCATTATTAACTGGAAATTAATGATAAAAATATTTTGGCCGTGGATTATTGATCATCTATTTATCCAGTAGATGCCTCCTACCGAGGAAACTACGGTGTTAGTAAAACCAGTCTAGAAATGAGAAATGTTTGTGAGAATTGATTATCGTCATAACTAGTCAATAATACCTATTATACCTGAATTCAGATCATCTCGTTCCTTAAGGCTACCGAAGCATTCTTGTAGTAAGAATAGCTACTTTTCGACATTCTCTTTTCCCACAGAAGTTCATGGAATTTGAAAGAGAATAGTTGGTGATAATCGCCCTAATTTTCACAAGTGTTGCCACACAGGAGTTAGATGATACTTTGAAGTTCAATGTTAAGAATCACACGTTAGAAGGTAAGACGTCGTTAATCCTTAGCTACTACAAGTTTCGACTTTTGAGAGATAGCTGGTTGATGGAAAAACATATTTCAAAACAGTTTTTTTTGGAATACCTCCTTATTTATCCTTGAAGGCGTTACTCCTCCTCCTAAGGTGGGATTGTATTGTTGTATGTGGATCGTGCGAAAAAACCAATATGAATGAGCTCATTGTTACGGCAAGAAGGCTTATGAAAATGATATTAAAAAAAGTTACTTAACCTTCAGACAAACTCTATATGAGAACAGAAAAATCTGACCTACTTTCATCAACAGCTCTCTTTCATCAACAGTAGTATTCAAAAGAAGATGATGAACCACAATCTAGATAAAAATCACCCACGTGTATGATACAAGAAGTATGAAAATCAAACTACCCTTAATGAACGAAACCATTGGAGAAAAATCTCCAACTATATGAGCCTCAAGCCAAACCGCTGCAGGTGAAGAATATTGTCAATTCAAATTTATTTGGAAAATAATATAAAATTATGTTTGCAACTCACCTCGATTCGAATTACACAGTTGAGTGCTCGAAAACACATGAAATTTTGACAGGTGCACACGGTTATTGTACGATAGGCCAGAAAATGGCTCACAAGTTATACAAGCTTTTCAGAGAAGATCGAGAATACGAAAAAACGTCCAGTATTGTGATAAAACAATCCATGGCTTTTGCATCACGATAATGCACCTGCTCACTCTTCATTGCTTGTTCGTAATCATGCATCAGCCACCGTACTCACCAGATTTTGCCCCCTGCGACTTTTTCCTGTTCGCAAGATTAGAGACGCTCTTATGAGATTATATACTATTTCTTCATGTGGTTCACCCCTACCATGGACACACTCTAGGTTTTTGTGGATTTTCCTTCTCATTTTTGCCCTTCAGCTATATGGATCTTTCTTTTATTTGCATTGATTTTATACATATGATTTTCAAGCGTGTGTATGAATAGGTCACAGTCTAGTCTAGTTTCGTAAAATTATTTAGTGCGAATCAATTATTACTATTATAATTGTCCGCCTACATGAAAGCAATGCAATCCTGATGTGCGTGAGAAGTGCTTCTGTAAGTTCGTCATACGCATTAAAAAAATAATCGGGTTTGAGATTTCTCTGACAATTTCCGAAAAACGAATCGGCAACGTCGCGCTACGTCGGATATATTCGTATCATATTTATTGCATCGTTCTTCACTCCAGTGTTTACTTTCATCATATTCATATCATTTCGTTCTAGTCAAGTGTCCCATTACCGAGTCAACTTTTCATCCTACTCAGGTCAGTACAAATAATTTTAATAAATTCAGTTCAATGGAGGTTAAGTGTCTATCAATTATTTCACAACCTCCACATACCGGTATAGATATGCACGTAATTGATGAATGAATAATCGTGTAAAATACAAAAAGAAAGTCGGTTGATTATCCAGAGTGATTCTATACTTTTACGTTAGAACCACGGTCATGACCCTACACTTGTGTAATATAAATATGAATTATCAAATATGTCACTGATCTTTGACGGTGTTGTCAGATCTACACTGATATAAGAAGGATTGCGAGGTAACGGTTTTGGCTCTGCAAAATCTCCTGAATTTCCTTTATGATTTCAGGACTCAAAGAAGAATTCCAATGAGAATCATCTTTCTCCAAAACCATTTAATTATAGTTAACGTCAGACTTATCCATTGTTTAATTGAAGGGTTATGGTTTCAAACACGACATTTACTATTAATTAATGCGTCTCACAACTGAGTTCACCTTTGAGATAAGTAAAACAAATAAGACTGCTTATCAAAGCTGATGTCAAAACGGTTAATTCGCTCAATTGATATCATTATATGATTGTAAAACCCAGCAGGTTTTACAATCATATCATAGGTTGTTTCTAGAGTTTTTTCCGTTTTTATAAGCCTACCTCAAACTTCAATATCTCAATGAATGTTACTGGAGTTTTTGCCAACACCAAACCGTTATTTAAACACCTCGACACGTGTTTCGATCACCACCTGATCATTTTCAAGAGGAAGATCAAAGTTCCATTGTAGTACAATGAATAGAGACAAAACAAATATAGTTTAAAAAACTAAAAAACACGCTTTCAAAGAACATCGAACTAAAAAGTTAGAAATCTTTTTTTTCAATAACCTGGAAACAATAATGAATGGAAAATACTAGTATTATTGTGAAAAAAGTACCAGACAGCGTCATTTTGATCTGCAAATGTCTCATCAGTGTTTCTAGGCTGAACCACCTTGTGGACCTTCTTTCATTCATTGTAAAGGTCAAAAAGTTCAAAAGATGAATGCCACAGGATTCAAACTATCGACAGAAATTTCACGTTTTGAGGTTTGCTCTTCTCTGCTTTTGCACAACATAAACGATCATTTTTTAGAACGGATCGACACGTGTGATAAAAAGTGGATCCCTTATGACAACAGAAGATGTTCAGGACAGTGATTGGACACGGATGAGCCACCCAGGCACTTCCCAAAGGCGAAAACCCTGGTGCGATTCACTATAACTCTCTGCAACTAAGCCATTGTGAGGTAATCGACGAAAGGTATCGAAAATTGCGTTAGCAGCCGGCATTGGTAAACAGAAAAGTTCCGATTCTGCTCCACGACAACGGTCGTCTGCACCATACTTCCCAGACCTCTCGCTAACTGACTTCCATCTTTTCAAGCACTTCGATGACTGTCTCATCGCTAGAACCTTCGCCAATCAGGACCAGACAAATCCCGAGCAACCAGTGTGAAGGCAGCCATGGGTTTCAGCCACGAATTGGGGAAATTTAACATTAACGGAAAGAAGTGCGCCAAGCCACCATTGGTCGTTAAAATTCATTGCTAGCCATGAAAAGCTGTCTTTTATAACAATAATTTCATGGCCAGCCATGGAAATTTTCACATAAAACGAAAGTATTCGGTGTATTCTATGATACCTATATGATCCTCGATTTTGTCGCGGAAATATACACCCCCTGTGCATAGGTATCATAGAATACGCCGAATACTTTCGTTTTATGTGAAAATAACCCCAGCAGCACAAATTTTCCAAAAGATATGATTTTTTTTATTAAAATGATTGAAGGGGTTGCAGGGGGTGTATTTTTCCGCGACAAAATCGAAGACCACATAGGTATCATAGAATACGCCGAATACTTTCGTTTTATGTGAAAATAACCCCAGCAGCACACATTTTTCAGAAGATATGATTTTTTTTATTGAAATAATTGAAGGGGTTGCAGGGGGTGTATTTTTCCGCGACAAAATCGAAGACCACATAGGTATCATAGAATACGCCGAATACTTTCGTTTTATGTGAAAATAACCCCAGCAGCACACATTTTTCAGAAAATATGATTTTTTTTATTAAAATGATTGAAGGGGTTGCAGGGGGTGTATTTTTCCGCGACAAAATCGAGGACCATATAGGTATCATAGAATACGCCGGATACCTTCGTTTTATATGAAAATATTCTAAGCAGCACATATTTTTCAAAATATATGATTTTTCCAATCAAAATGATGTAAGAAGTTACAGGGAATGTTTTTTTCCGCGACAGAACCGAGGACTGTAAAGGTATTATTGAAAACGTTGAAAACTATCGTTTCATGTGAAAATTTCCATGGCTGGCCATGAAATAATTGTTATAAAAGACAACTTTTCATGGTTAGCAATGAATTTTAACGACGAATGGTGGCTTGGCGCACTCCTTTCCGTTAATTGTAAATTCCCCCAATTCGTGGCTGAAACCCATGGCTGACTTCACACTGGTTCTCGAACACCCAATTTTTATTCTGACAGAATAATCGACTTGTTTTACATTACCAAAAGTATACTGATTTAAGTGTGGCTTACCTCTATTAAATTCAATAATAATTCACTGAGATATAACAATTTAAAGTAGACTCATTAAAACGGACAAAACTTTTAAAACAACCTATTATTTCGTTCATTCAAAAAATGTCAATTATATTTCAGAGAGTAAATTTTCTTTTTCAGTATTTTAAAATGACCGAGGCTATAAGATTCGGAATAATCACAGGTGAGTTCTCATTTTGAGACCTAGGAAATAAGTTTTTCGAAATAATGTAAATAGTATCTAGTTATATGCCAAATATTTTGTAACAGAAAGTTTTTCGACAGTATATGTTGATCCATAAATGACAAGGTCTATCACCGATATGCATAGGGTGAAAATCTTGATTGAGATTCTGTTTGACAAAAGCGGCGTCAGATTTTTACACATGAGAACTTCTTAAAAAACCTGCTTGATTCCAGATGAACACCAATTTAGCAACCTACACTGACTTGTTTGATCGATGATGTTACATTCAGTATGTACAGACATAAATTTCGAGTGGGCTGAAAAAATCCAGGTCAGACTATGGCTAATTGATAAATGAAAAATGACTTTTCTTCAACAATACACTCATTTTATGGCCGTCATAATCGAACCACCAAACAGACTATTCAAGCTGTTGTGACCAAATTTCATACCAGTTTCACCGTTGGACATTAATCCACCAATTCGTAGGCGGATAGTGCATACCGAGGAGAATATCGTTGTCAGTGTCAAGGAAGATGTCATTTCGTCGCCGTTGTCAACAAATGGGCTTGTGTGGAAGATTTTACCTGAAGACTTCCGCATGAAACCATACCAAATACAGTGCTGTAAAAACTGAAGCCAGATGACGTACCACAATGTAGTTTGTTTGGTGAATAGGTCTTAGGAAAGTTGGATAAAGATCCACTTTCCTATCGAAAAATTCCACCATTGGCTCAATGGGTACCTCAACAAACAGAATTGCCGAATTTGGTGCGGAGAGCAGCCAGATGCAGTTCAAAACCTGTCAATATATTCTAGAAGATGCAATGTTTGGTACGGTTTGTGAGCTGGCTGCATGATGGAAATCGCAAGATACCGTGCGATGATTACCGACTTTTTTTCCAAAATGGAAGAATGGGACTTGGTTGACATGTGGTTTCAACAAGATGGCGCCACATACCACACCGCACGCGATACCGTGATCAATTAATCTTTCGTTTTGGAGCAGCCCACTGGCCGCCAAGATCATGCGATGTGAACCCACTGGACTATTTTTTGTGAGGATACGTGAAATATCTCATGTGCAGGAAGAAGCCACCCACATTTGCAGCCCTGGAAGGCAACATTACAGCTACCATTGGTGAGATACCTGCCGAAATGCTGGAAAAAGTATATCAAAATTTCAGCTCTCGGATGGACAACCTAGGGCGTAGCTGCGTGAAATATTAACATGAAATAATCTTAAAAAAGGAAAAAGCGGGCTTTCATTTATCGCCCAACTAAATATTTCATTCACTTTCGCAAATTTTCTGTGTGCTTTTCGGTTTTAAACCCAATCGGTCAAAAATCACCCGCTATCACAGACGATAATTGCTCTTGTATTTCAATATGGACAATTTCATGCATTGGTGTTCATGTTATAGAAACCTAATGATGCTTCTTGATGTCAGCCATTCTAGAATGAAATTATATACGCCGGTGGCCAGAACTGGAGCACAATTCCTGCAATTTTGCCATCGTTTCTATTGATTCGTGACAGTGCATTTCGATGAAAAACCACTAACTTTTTTCCCAAATATAGCCGTTTTTCTGCGATTTTGTTCTTCATATGCTCCAATAACGCTATGTAATAGTTGCTGTTGATGGTTTTTCATTCCTTTCTTTGAAAATTTCCTACCTTTTGTGTATGCAGATGGATAAGTAGAAAGTCAAAGCTTTTGTTTCCCAATGAACTAGATAATTATATATTTCATGATATATACTACTCATCATTCTATCCGGTTATGAATACATTTGGCGGACACCATGCATCAGACAGAACCTCTTTAATCAATTATTGTTAATATAATCAGTTTATGAACCAAGTACAAGAAATCTTTAATTTCAAAATTAAACATAATTTATATAATATGATGTAATGACATGTTCTCAATGATTCAACGATCAATATAATTTTATTGTCCTTTGATCACTCTGGGTCAAGCTGTTGATTATTCAAATTAGGTCTTAATTGACGTGATTGAAACATTATCTACTCGAAATAAATGACACGAAACATAATTGATTTCTGTTCTACACTAATGTTCATTTCATTCTGCCAAGGATCACCTGAAATATCTGTAGATTTGATATATACTGGGTGAGTTACAGAACTAATGATCTTTGTATTGTTCCACATACAAAGTCCCTAATTTGAAATATTTGCCCACTTTTTTCTGAGCATGCTCAATGAGTGTTATATCAAATACTATAATTGTATACAGGATGGTCAGATAAAACCAAACGGTTTTTGAAGCTGTCATTCAGAAGGAATGTCAGGAATCACACGTTAAAAGGTAAGACCTTGTTAGTCCTCAGCTCGCACAAGTTTCTCAACTTCTGAGAGTTGTCGTTCATATGGGGGCGACAGCTGATTAACGGAAAACAGATTTTAAACAGAAGAAAAAAACACTGGGGTCAGTGATACTCCGAAATGGCTGAAACTTTGGGGAGTAACTGTCAATAGATGAACAACGGAATTCACTTGCTTTCATTTACGAGTGGTGCCATCTGTATCTTGAGGTCGAAAACTTTTCAGTCCGCCTTCGTACTACGTACCTACTAGAAAATAAATATTTCGGAAGTAATTGTTTTCCGGCATTTACCAAAAGTTACCAGAACCTACGGTTTAGGTAGTTGAGGGAGATTATTATTTCCAGACTTCATATTTTCTAGTAGATATAATTCCAGTATTTCGTAAATTGATTTTATTTTCATTTTTCATTAAAGTAAGCGACACCTGCTTCAACGGTACGAAAGTTGATACTTCTGGACCCAGGCTGAAAAAAGAAGTTTCCGAAATCTTTCCATCATGTAAAGTGGTCGAAACAGCTTTGGTAGAAGATGAACTAGAGAAAATCAAAAACTATCTGGAGACTTGGGCAGACAACGGAATCTGTGACGTCATCTTGACTACAGGTATAGTACCTTTTTTTTGCTTGGCGCACCTCTGTGGTTTTTGCCCAAATCACAGATGTGCGGTTGGCTTCTGTAGGTAAGTCCGTGCATTTGGGGTCAGGCTTCTCTGGGCGGGGAATATCCGACACGTCCAATTTTCTATGACTCCTGTACATAAATCAGGCTGAATTTGACAGATGCGATGGCATGGGTTATGTTGACTTTCAGGACTCATGATAGTATGTTGGAAATAATTCTTAATCCTGAACATCTAACATGAGTTCGTTTTCGAATTCGGAAGTCAGGTTAGATGTTGAAGGTAGATGATTTTTTCCAAATTAACGGATTTCAGGTTACATATGTTGGTTAAGATAGGTTATGTTAGGTTAGTTTAGTTGAAAAATACCAACTCGTTTATATTTAATTCATTTTTGACGTGTTTAATGGTAACTACAAACATCTAATTTCAGCTACAATCAACTCCATCGTTTGTACTCCAATCTGCAAGAAACGATGATGACTATCAACATCGTTTGTAGTTTGAGGACACTTGTTATTTTATAATTTGAGTCTTGTTATCGTAGTTTTTTTGCTATACTTCAAAAGAATATAAAATAAATTGATATTGTGTTGTTACTACAATAAACTACACTCCATTTAGAACCTATTTCAGAACTTTTTGGCACATTATTACTCGTCCTTCGTAGTTGGGATAATATTAATAGTGCTTTCTCAGTAACCGATAAGACTACAAAAAAAAATGAATATTACTACATTTATTAGTATCATATGTAGGCAAAGTAGGCTAAAAAAAGGTATATTTGTTTCAAATCGGATTCCAGCGTGACGGAGCTACAATTCACTTATAGAACTAGCGAATAATACTGATTTCATCATTTTTTTTTCGGAAAGTGCAAAGGTCTATTGACGAGAAAATTCATTATCTACGTTTAGGAGGTACAGGTTTTGCAGAAAGAGATGTCACTCCAGAAGCAACACGTCAGGTCATTCAAAAAGAAGCTCCTGGTTTGGCGTATACTATGATATCCAGAAGCCTCCAAACTACCGAGATGGCCATGCTTTCTCGTGCGGTATGTGGAATCCGGAAAAGGACCCTCATTGTTAATTTACCCGGCAGTGAGAAAGGTGAGACAATTGACTTATATGGAAGATGATAATTTAGTCAAAGTAAGAAACTAGATTTAATGAAACAGAAATGGAAGGTCTTCCATAGTTTCTTGCTGATTTATGTGACCCAGTAATGATCTATTGTGTTTCTATAATTGAAATCATTCAAGTCAAGAATAAATAAATAAATACCTCCGATATATTTTTTTAGCAAGAAAGACTCAATGCACTGCAGAAAAAGTTACCGAGGTTACTTAAATAAACAGCGTTTAACTATTTGCAATTCATCATTGATTTCTTAGAATTCAATTTGCCAAAGATTACGGGTTCACATTCCAAAAATGATAAAGCAAATCATCTAATGAATCAACTCAATGATGTTCATTGAAATATACTACCCGAATCTCGGTAAAACCATTAAAATTGGAAAGTACTTGAATAATAACCTTGAGGAGGCCTGAGGGGTGAGGCGGAATCCCAAGAGAGCCCAAGTCCACGCTCTTATCTTTGAATCTCTCCGATACTCATTTCATCCTCCTCTGCATCGATTACGTCACACGTTTCTCACTCCCACTCACTAAAGTATCTCTCTGAAACACTTACCAACGACGTGCGACCTTGAAAAGGGTCTCGTACCGGCCTTGCTCCTCTACTGTTGTGCTTGCTTTCATTCTTGTGATACATGTTGAAAATGTTCCCCTCATGTAGTTACGGATCACCATCACATTCAATCCAAGTAATAGATTAGTCAACAGTTGAGTAGATATGAATTCTTATGAATTATGTAAAAATATGCATGTAAAATACATCAATTCACAATTTTAAAAGGACTCCTCAAATAGTATTTCGTTTCAAATGTCTACTTGAAAATAGTAAAAAAAATGTTTCACTTTTCAACCTACCCGATTACGTAGGTCCACCTGTGGAGCGACAACTTGAAAATTACTCATTTTTATTACTCCGCTGCCGAATGAAAATGATCTGAGGTTAAAATTAATGAAAAATTTCAGTTGAACCCAAACTGAAGGAGACAAAGTAGAAATTGATTTGAAATTTTAGAAGCAATTTCAGCGAACATTGCCATGTCGCTAGACACCAAAGTATTTGTCGAAGCAGTTAAGTTACGATCCGCATTGTATTACATAAAAGTACACGAATATTCAGACAAAAATATTAATAAATTTTGCCAAAACTTTTCTCATTCATGCGAAAATAATTTAAAAAATTGATTGGATATTTTCCAAGCTGTAAATCAATTTATAAAAGTTTCCTTCTATAAGCCTCACTCTAATGACTGAATGAATATAAAACAGCGAGCGAAATTCAACCTACTAGAATATTTAATCATCGAGATTAAAAAGTTGCGAGTGTATGAGTAGCCTAATTGAGTTTCATTAAAACTTGATATTTATATTCCATTTGTAGGAGCTGTGGAATGCCTGGGATTCATAAAGAGAGGGATTCCACATGCAGTTGATCTTCTCAAATCGTTTGATGAAAACATCAAAGCTGTACATAGTTATATGCAGAATAAACGTCCCGAAGATCGAGATAAGAAGATTGAAAAGGATTCTATTAGTCCGAGCAAGGTAGGTTTTAACAATTTCAAAACTACTCAACCGATCATCATGAAATTTTGTACACATGTTCTTGGGGTATTAGAAGTAACATAGGATACTTTGAGTTTATCTTCTGAAAGAAATAATCTCATTAGCCACACTAATGTTCAAAGATGCCTGCAATTCTTCTCTGATTATATCATTACAAAAAAGTATAATGTTCATTTGATATTTCAAAAAGATTTAGCAGATCTTAGGAATATTCTGCTGCTGCAGTATCTGATAGGTTAAAGGAAAAATATAGCTGCGTGTCGTCTGTGTATAGATGATACTTGCAACGAGTTAATGACTTTACGAACTGTGTAGTATGAATCGCATTAAATAATGGACCCAAAATACTACTTTGAGGTGCTATACTGGTGACAGTAATAGCCGTCGATGTCTCATTTTTATACACTACTCGCTGTAATCTGTTCTTAGGAATGATTTTATCAAATCGCAAGCTCGCACAACATATCGTACGCTTTTGTGTAGTCTAGGAGTACCAGGATCGTTGCCTTACTTTCGTTCATTCCCCTCAGAACATCATCTGACACATCAGTCAGTGCAGAGCTACAGCTGTAGCCTGGCTGAAAACGTGATTGTTTCGCTTTTAGATAATTTATCGAGTTGATAAATAGTACTATTCGAGACTCAATGGCTCTTTCGAGCACTTTAGAAAGAAAAGCATGAATCGAAACTGAACGAAACTGAACGAGTTTTGTATACAAGAGGTAATTATATACGTTATATGTGGCACAATACAGGGGCAGCATAGTATTATTAGAGTAATATTGAGGTTATCACACTTAGACTTAATACCTTTCCAAGTTTGAAAAACAAATTCTTCATTTATCTTCACGAATGTAAAAGCTAGTTGAATTATATAAAAAAAAGTTTTCCTATTCAGTTTGTATTCCAGTCTTATTATATGAAAGAGTTACGATATAAAATTTCACTTCCACATCTATGATTTAACCATTTTTAAAGGAAAAAATTTTGATCACTGAGCTGAAAAGTATCAAATAAGGTGAAATAAGGAGTGGAGGTGATGTGGTTATCCATTGAGATACAGTAATAAATAAAATGAGTTAATGCCATCAGTTACATACTTGTAACCATTGTGTAACTGTAGCGTGTGGCATTCTCCGAGAACTTGATAGGTGTAGCTTAATCTTGAGCAAGTCATCTCGAACTTGTCCAAAGACAATAAAATCCGGCTTCGTTAACATTACTCCGGCGAAGTTAACGTGCATGCATTCTTTGATCGCTGAAAAGACCGTCTCGCTGTGGTTCAATGCCTTGGTGTTATTGGTTCTGTTTCCTATGAAGGATTAGCATCCACCACTGAGGCATAGGAATTTTGTGTTTCAATAGTATTGATGCATCCTACCGACTGCGCCACATTTGACCGTGGCATTCTCCTAGAATTGTATATGTGCCGAAACAGGTCCTCCGGGGGAGGAGGGTGAATTGTTGAGGTCAGCATGGGCATATAACAGCTACATATCGATTAATTGATGACTATTGAAATATTTCTGTGGAATCAAAATTCACGTATTTCATTTCCGAAGGTAAAAATGGACAGCGTAGCGACAAGAAGTCGGACATCTCCCTACCCAATGCTTGAAGTAGATGAAGCCAATGAAGTAATTCTGAAGGAATGTTCCCCAACGCTAGAAACGGAGGCGGTTCACTTTGAAAAGGCACTTCACAGAGTTTTGGCGGAGGACGTTTTTGCTGAAGAACCGGTGCCAGCATTTCGTGCTTCTATCAAAGATGGTTACGCTGTGAGGTCATCCGATGGTTGTGGAAATCGATATGTTAAGGAAGTTGCCGCTGCAGGAGATGAGGTAAAATCCTGAACTTGAATAAGTCGTGACCAAGAATCTATAAAAATACACTTACAGTACATTTATTGATGAATTTTCGAAATTCTCCAACTGATTTCTCTGTTTTGCTTCTAATTTCAAGTTCGATGAGGTTTTTTTTTAAGGTAATTGACAATGTTTCATGATGAATTTCACTAGTTCGGACATCCATTGTCTACTATATAAAATGATTTGAAATCCCTGAAACAACTAAAAAAGAAGAATTAAAAATGAATAGCTGAAAATGACATTTATATTAAGCAAAATGAACCTGAAATGAAATAATAGTGAAATAAAATACAAGTAAAAATAAAACAATTGAATGAATGAAAATAAAGAAATGAAAAAAGAAAATAGAAATAAAAAGTGGAGAGATTCCAAGTCATGTTAGTTCACGACGTTTCGATTGTTAGTNATACCGTTCTCTACGAACAGAAGATCGAAGAGGTTCTTCAGAAGGGACGATACACAAAGATCGTACGGGACCCTACTGCATCAATCGAAAGGGAGTTGTACCAAATTTTAAAAAAACACCAAGTCTATTTTTCGGACAAGGAAAGATCATCGCTAACACCGCACCACAGTAAGCCCCCTCACTTGTATGGACTACCCAAAATCCACAAGAAGGACGTTCCGCTTAGACCGAAACGTCGTGAACTAACGTGACTGGGAATCTCTCCAATTTTTATTTTTATTTTCATTTCTTTATTTTTATTTATTCATTTGTTCTATTTTTACTTGTATTTCATTTTTTTTTTAGTTGTTTCAGGGATTTCAAATCATTTTATATAGTTGACAATGGAAGTCCGAACTAGTGAAATTTTTCGATGAGGTTAATCTGACAATAATAATATCGTGAAACTGCTCCATTCTCTCAATTCATTGCAGCCATTTAAAGACGAACTGAAAGAAGGTGAAGCAATTCGGATTTCTACTGGAGCTGCTGTTCCAGCAGGTGCTGATGCGGTAGTTCAAGTCGAAGATACAACTGTTGTCGAAACATCTGCGGACAACAAGAGTGAGGTTATCATTTCCATCAATAGCTTACCCAAGGCAGGCCAAGATATAAGGTGGGTTCTTTACAAAAAGGGACGTGAAACATGATACGGCACTTTGAGTTTCTCTTCAATATTTTGGGTATCATCAAATTATATTATTGGCATTTCATGTGTTCGCAGAACGGATTTTAGTTAAATCTAATCATGGGGGTATTTCTAAAAAAATGCAATATGCTTCCTATTAACTTTACATCGAAACCACTCATTATAATTTGAGTAATAAGAAATAAATTTAATTCAAATTGTTCACGTATTATACAGTGTGACTCATTTTTAATGGAAACACCCCCCTAGAATTTGAAACTGTAAATCGATTTCAATTTTTTTTTAAAATGTCAAGTACTAAAAGGTCTACCTTGGGACGGAATTTGAAATGTTTATTGAAGTTTCAGGGCATAGTACAATATTTTTCTTAGTCGAAAATCGGGATTTTTTATTAGCGATTATTTTATTGAAAAAATCACTACGCCACTGGATTCAGAGTGCCTTTGAATAGGTGTGACCAAAATTTCATGAAAAAATATTCATTCATTATTAACAAAGTTATGATAACTTAAAAATTCGAAAACTCACACAGCCAACAGTCACAATATATCATTTTTTTATGATTTCAACAATAAAGTGCCGCCAGATGAAAAAAAAACAAATAGGGTAAATATTTTTAATGAAAATAACGGAATTACATTCACACAATTCAACTAACAATGAAGCAAAAAGTTATAATAAACGTAACTAATAACTAATTATTGAAATGTTTCGATTCAGTGCAACAATTATTTCAAACCATATTCTAGTAGCCTCTACTAATCCACCACGTATTTCGATACATGTGTCGTAGCGCTTACGAATGTTTCTGATTACGTTCCTAAGTTCTTGAGGGCTAATATCTACACATACCTGTCGAATTCTTGCACAAAGTTCATTTCTATCTCTTGAGCGGTTTTTGTAAACCTTTTGTGTGAGAAGTCCCCAGAGAAAAAAGTCCAAAACTGTGAGATCTGGAGATCTGGGTGGCCAATCTATAAACGGACTACCACGGCCTATCCATCGATTTAGAAAATGTTCGTTAAGCCATTGCCTCACAGCTTTGGCATAATGAACTGAACACTCATCTAACTGGACAATTAAATTTGATCGTTCATTGATTGGCAGCTCGTGAATAGCATCCCAAAACTCTGTGTTTAAAAATTCTAGAAACCTCTGCGCATTAATGTTTTCCCCAAAAAAAAGGACCAATAATTCGTTCGTTCAATATCCCACACCAGACGTTGATTTTTTGGGAATATTGTTTAGAGGCACTCTGAATCCAGTGGCGAAGTGATTTTTTCAATAAAAAAATCGCTAATAAAAAATCCCGATTTTCGACTAAGAAAAAATATCGTAATATGCCCTGAAATTTTAATAAACATTTCAAATTTTGTCCCAAGGTAGACCTTTCAGTACTTGACATTTAAAAAAAAATATTAAAATCGGTTTACAACTTCAAATTTTAGGGGGGTGTTTCCATTAAAAATGGGTCACACTGTAAATATACATTTACATATAATACAATAATTATGGAATCTGTTTATTCAATATTCAGAGAGTGCCAGGGAACAACATCCACGCCAATTTTCAGGATGTAAAATATCAAATATGTTCACTTTTGGGGAAAAAAGGTTTCGGCTTTCTACTTCTCCATCTTCATACAAAAAAGGTGGCAATCTTTCAAAAAAACGAACGAAGCAATCAAAAAATCAACTCTGTACAAAAATATCTGCTCGTTTTAATTCTTCACTGAACTAATTCTTTACCACATTTCCATAGTTTGTAGACATATTTTATTTAGGGAGTGTACAGAGTGGGCCAAATTGAACAATTTCACACAGAAAAACAAACTAGATAGATGAAAACTGATGGCCGTGCCTGAGGGAAAATTTTCACTTAATGGTGAAAAACTCATATCGATATCGATCGTCATTGTTTTAAGCTTATTTACAATAGTTCTTAACTTGTAAAATTATTACAATATGTTAAAACAACGATAAAAATAAAATAAATACAACAATAAAAATTAATTGGCGCTCCGGAGCGACTTCATTGATTCCAGTAGCGCATTTGCTTTTTCAGCTGCAGGAAAACCCGGAAAAACCTGCAGCACCACATCATCGATATCTATTACCGTGCATTTACATTTTTGAAAAGTTAATGTAACTTTTCAGAAATGTCAAAAATTATTCGTTACTATGAAATCATTTTCAAATCATATTTTACGTAGAATTAAGTAGTGTAAAAACTTATTTTTTGCAATGACAAATCAGTAGTTGATGATGGAAAACTATTTTTTTAATGAGACACCCTATATATTGCTGCATATTTCAATAGAGCAATATTGCAGTAAAGACGCTCTTCAATTAGTGGTTTTTGTTCAATATTTAAACACATTCGCAGTGAGTATGAGAGTTATGAAAAATGGGATATGATGTTTTATATAAACCAGGGAAAATGCAGATATACAGTGTCACTCATGTGGATTTAATGAAAGGATTACAGTTCACATCAGTAAAGTTCAAAGGGATACAATTTTTGTTCACGTTGTCGGGATGCTATGTGATATTCAGAGAATTGAAATCCCCACAAATAACGAAGTTGTCATTGGTGTTATAATTGATAATGTCAGCAATCTCAGAGCAGAAAATAGTAATTCGGAGAAGTTAGCACCTGGAGGAATATAAACACTGCGCGCGTTCAATTTACTAGTATTAGCTTTTGTAGGTTTTACCGTGATCCATACTTCTTCCACATCGGTCATCTATTAATGCCTCACCACACAAGATAAGCTGCTATTCACTCGAAAATGCACAATTTCGAAAAATATGCTGTTACTAAGAACCGATGATAGATATGTATATGCGGTTTTCATCATCAATTTTATCACAAAATTTGACGCTCAGATATAGCCATCAGTTTTCATTTATCTAGTTTGAAAACAGGAGTTTCCCTTCAAAAGTGTCCAATTTGGCCCAGTCTGTACAAGTATATAGAAATATTGATCTTCTCACTTTTTTTTAGAGAAATTGGAAGTGACGTACCGGCCAATTCCCTTGTTTTAAAGAAAGGTGATCGTATCACCCCGGCTCATGTTGGTGTCATGGCCATGCTGGGAAAATTAGAAGTGAAAGTTTTCAAGTAAGTTCATACTACCATTTTCCGCGGGCAAAAATACCAGATTAATATTATAAAATTTCCTCCCGCAACCTGAATATTCACACTAAGACACTTTCCTATAAAGAAATTTTCAAACTTATACATTAATGTATATGTATGTATACAGGGTGATTCAGAAGTACTTTGACAAACTTCAGGAGGTGATTCCTCACAATATTCTAATATGAATTGTCCAAATAAATGAATGTCCGCAAACGCTTCGTTTCCAAGATACAGGATGTTGAAGTTTTATTTTTATTTTCGTTTTTTTCAAATAACTTTTGAAATACTGAACTTAATTAAACGAAACTTGGTAATAGGAGGTTTTTGAGGTGTCGAATTCGAACCTGATTCATAACTTTTTTGGGCGTACTTCTAACACATTTTTCAGTAAAAAAATCGATTCCTCTATCATATCTACGTAAATAAGCTACCCTTGTTACTAGTCGCTGTAAGCAACCGTTTTCTAAATATTTGGACTTGAAAACTTCAAGTCGATTATTTGATAATCGATGCATGTTGAAGTTATTACGAATATTTTGCTTTTTTCACAAGAATGCTTTGGAAATGAATTTGACGTTTTACTCGTTTGAAGAGGTCATTACTGTTGGGTACGTTCCTTTATGACATCCTTAAGCGAAATAGTTATTTTTGTATCAAGGGTGCATAATCAGTATTTGTTTTAATAAAATTTGCAAGAAATGTCAACATTTTATTTCAGGAAATTTTGAATATGTAGAATAAACTAAAATAAACGAAACTAAATTGTATTCAAATAAATTGTTGGAAGTGTCCACCTTCAGCGAAGATACAGGCAGTCAGTCGTCCAGTCATTGAATCTTGTACCCGCTCAAAAATTATTGGTGTGTTTCTTATTGTTTCACAGGCGTCTACTATTCGGTTTCTTAGATCTTCCTCGTTCACTACTGGAGTCTTATAAACTAGTGACTTCAAATGTCCCCAAAAATAAAAATCTATCGGGTTTAGATCTGGGGACCTTGGTGCCCACGCCTGGTTAGGTTCTTCTACACCCCTACCGATCCATCGATTTGGATAGATTGTGTTAAGGAATTCCCTGTCTACAACGCTAAAATGGGCCGGAGCCCCATCATGTATAAACCACATGCGGATACAAATTTCTAATGGTACATTCTGAAGTAGTCCCGGCAATTCATTTTCTAAAAAGTGTCTGTAATTTGCGCCATTCATTCGGAGCGGAAGAAAGAAAGGACCTATCAAGTAATTATCAATTATTGCTGCCCATAAATTTACACAAAATTGATACTGATAATGCCTTTCACTAACTGCGTGCGGATTTTCGAGAGCCCAAACATGATTGTTATGAAAGTTTGTGATAGCATTTCGGGAGAAGTTTGCCTCGTCCGTGAAGAGTACGTATCTTAAATATTGAGGATTTCCAGCCAATTTCCTGAAAAACCATTGACACATAGTAATGCGTTGGGGAAAGTCTCGTGGCAAAAGAGCTTGTACCCTTTGAATATGGTATGGATAAAACTGTTGATCGTGGATAATTCTCCAAACTGTGGACTGAGTGGAATTGACAGCTTCAGCAATTACTCTTGTGCTTGTTTCTGGATTCTCCTCGAGAGCGTTCAAAACAGCTTCTTCCAATTCTGGGGTTCGGACTGCTCGTGGTCTTCCAATAATATCAGCTGCCCTCTTAAAGCTACCTGTTTCTGCCAAACAACGGTGGAGACTAGCAAATGTTGGAGCTGAAGGCAGTACTCGATTAGGAAATCGCTCCTGGTAAATACGTCTTGCTTCGCGCGCATTGCCATCCGCAAGGCCATAAACGAAATGCATATCGGCTATGTAATTACCAAAACTACTCACAAACGTCAAATTTATTTCCAAAGCATTCTTGTGAAAAATTATTTCAAAAGTTATTTGAAAAAAACGAAAATAAAAATAAAACTTCGAAATCCTGTATCTTGGAAACGAAGCGTTTCCGGACATTTATTTATTTGGTCAATTCATATTGGAATATTGTGAGGAATCACCTCCTGAAGTTTGTCAAAGTACTTTTGAATCACCCTGTATATACATTAATGTATAAGTTTGAAAATGTCTTTATTAATACATTGATGTATACGTTTGAAAATGTCTATATAGGACGAAACTGCAGTAACGTTAGTTACAAATAAAAGGGGTAAAAAACATAGAATTGATTTGTGCAATTGGCAATGTGCACAAATCTATATGCAGTCTATCTAGCCTCTCTCTCCAGAAAAATGTGGAGAGGAGGTAGATCTAGAAGTATATCCATGGCCTCTGACGTTGTGGTACTGATGGCACCACTGATGGCCAGACAAGCCTGTCTCTGTAAGCCAAAGAGTTACGCCTGGTCCGTTTTATGTAAAGCCTTCGGTCATTAAGCAATTGCACCATAAGTGATCATTGGTCTGACAATCATCACATAAATCCAATGGATTTGTTTGGGGCCCAGACCCCAAGTTCTACCACAAATTTTTCGACATGTCCATAGGGACAGTATGGCTTTGTGCATAACTTTTTCCAAGTGGGCTTTCCAGATGAGAGTACATTAGTGGACTACGACTCTACATTAGCGAGCTACTAGTTGTAGTTTTAGTACCACTAACGAAATCTTTGACAGGGCGACTCAGCACCATCTGATCAAAAATGCAGTTGTTTTTTGGTTATGGTTTCATTCGAATATCTGTGTTCAAAAAAAATTAAAAGAGGGTTGGAGAGTTTTTATTATTTCAATCATACTAAGAAAACTGGTAATCTATAACGAAAAAATAATGTCTGCCCTGTGACACTGACTTTTTTGCCCGGTAACTATGACTATACATTCAATAAAACAATTTGAGATACAACAGTATTTACATAAGAGTAAAAAAAATTCCTAAGAAAATTTGAATGTATTCATTATTGTTTTAGAAAACAAAATGTATCATATAGAATTATCTGTGTTTTTTTTTTCAAGGCAACCTTCCATTGGAGTTCTATCAACAGGTAACGAAGTAAAAGCCCCAGGAGATCACTTGAAACCAGGACAAATCAGGGACTCAAATAAACCCACTCTCGTGAGTTTATTGAAGAAATATCATTATGAACCAGTTGATTGTGGAACGGTTATGGATGAGTGAGTTGTTTGCCACATCTCTAAAAAAATTCGATTCATACATTTTGGTTTTTTAGCCCGACATCAGTGAAGGCAGTTCTTCATGAGGCGTTTTCGAAAAACGACGTCGTTATTTCGAGTGGCGGGGTTTCGATGGGAGAATTTGATGTTTTGAAAAGGGTCCTTGTTGAGGATTTCGGTGCGGAGATCCATTTTGGAAGAGTCAATATGAAACCAGGGTAAATTGTTCAATTGTTTTCAAACATCAGGTGAACGCCTTGGAGTGAGCCAATCCTGGAGGATTTTGCCAGAAATCCTTAAATCTTCTTGCCATCCAGGTGTTCAATTCGCCTTTCAGGCCAGTATGACCAGGCCAGACCAGAATCAATCTGTTAAGTCTTCCTATTGAGAAGAGTCGCTATTTGGCAATTTGCTACCAATTTGGACGCTACTGAAACATATAACTCTGCAAGTAAAGCTCATTTGATAAATTCAATTCATTTTCAGGAAACCTACAACATTTGCGACATTTGTATATGGCGAAAAATTGAAAAAATTCTTCGGTTTACCTGGAAATCCAGTATCCTGCGGAGTGACTTGTTTACTGTTTGTTATACCGACATTGAGGTATCTGGAAAGGAGCACTGTATACCGATTTCCTGTTATCAATGTACGGGTAAGCTTTTTGATAGTCTATTGTTGCTGAGAACTCACGTTAAGAATAAAGCCGCTTCTACACGGTGCGACAAAATGTAACTCTGCAGCGATAAGTTGATATACTGTTTTAACGTTCCTTCTCTTCTTCCAACCTTTCAACAATTTTAGTTGAAGTTAGTTGTGTTGATTAAATATGATTGATGATTAAAAATATAGCTGCTACTGTTGTTTTCGTAGCTAGAAGTAACTGATCACACTATTTTAAATAGTAATATTTCACAACAAATAGAAAACAGGTAAATTGAACGTGGACCCTATGACACAACCGCCGTCTAGATCGCTACACTATATCAAAGTTGTCTACACCCAAGACACTTGTCGCTACGACCTCAAGAATTCGATGAGACGTGGAACCAATCTTCAACTTGACTTTTCTATTCACACGTTACGTTTTGTCGCACCTGTGAACTCGCCTTAACATATTCTCAATTTGGCAGTATTTATCATTTTTGAGTAGATTTCGAAGAAAAATCAGTGAGTTGGGATTTGTGTCGTCCTGTCATCGTTACGCAATTTCAAGATATGTAAATCGGCACATCCATTGGTTATCATTACAGACAGGGTGTTATATTTTTAGACTCCTCTCTTCTGTAGTTGCCATTTAACATTAGGATCATAAATACTCGTGGATACAGTTAATGTAGCCCCAGAGACTGGAGGTTCAACGTCACCCAGGTCAAAACTCCATCAGAAATTAGGAATTCGTAGAGAATGGAATTCGGGATGATGAAATGTAGGAATCACGAAGAGGGCGTGCAGCTCGTAGACAGGAACTTTCTTTGTACTCAAACAACACCACTCTGAAGAAGTGGTCATAGAACAAAACGACTTCGCGCGAGTATTGGCTTTGAAAGAAGAGATCGACTTTATGGTCCGGACCTCCATAGGAGTTTTAATCCTACACCATATGTCGGAATTTGGAGTTAGCATGTCTAACCCATTTGGTCTTAGCCTATTTCCACTGATGAGGGGGAACTGTACGGTATATAAATTAGTATATACTTAACGGTACTTAACGGTATACTTAATTAGGAACCAATCGTATTTGTTTACGTCTATGACTTTGTATGTATAACGTACGTTACAAAAGGGTAGTCTATAGTTTTCTCTACCATATACGTGTCATTTTATTTTTTCCATGATCCCTTTGAATTCCCGTAGTATTAGTGTTTTATACAGTGTGACCCATTTTTAATGGAAACACCCCCCTAAAATTTGAAGTTGTAAACCGATTTTATTAATTTCATTTTCGAAATGTCAAGTACTAAAAGGTCTACCTTGGGGCAAAATTTGAAATGTTTATTGAAGTTTCAGGGCATTCTACGATATTTTTTCTTAGTCGAAAATCGGGACTTTTTATTTGCGATTTTTTTATTGAAAAAATTACTACGCCACTAGATTCAGAGTGCCTCTAAACAGGTGTGACCAAAATTTCATGAAAAAATATTCATTTTTAACAAAGTTATGACAACTCAAAAATTCGAAAACTCACACAGCTAACAGTCACAAAAAACACCCTATATCAACAGATAAAAATATTTTATATACCGACGAAGCCACTTTCACTACAAATGGAGTAGTTTCATCACAGAATTGTCGCTATTGGGCAGCGGATAATTCTAACTGGGTAATAAACTGTAAAAGCCAGTATTCCTAAAAAATCAACATCTGGTGTGGGATATTAAACGAACGAATTATTGGTCCTTTCTTTTTTGAGGAAAACATTAATGCGCAGAGGTTTCTAGAATTTTAAAACACAGAGTTTTGGGATGCTATTCACGGGCTACCAATCAATGAACGATCAAATTTAATTGTCCAGTTAGATGGGTGTTCAGTTCATTATGCCAGAGCTGTGAGGCAATGGCTTAACGAACATTTTCCAAAGTTTTGGACTGTTTTCTCTGGGGACTTCTCACACAAAAGGTTTACAAAAACCGCTCAAGAGGTAGAAATGAACTTTGTGCAAGAATTCGACAGGTATGTGCAGATATTAGCCCTCAAGAACTAAGGAACGTAATCAGAAACATTCGTAAGCGCTACGACACATGTATCGAAATACGTGGTGGATTAGTAGAGGCTGCTAGAATATGAGTTAAATTAATTGGTGCACTGAATCGAAACATTTCAATAATTAGTTATTAGTTACGTTTATTAAATTTTTTTGCTTCATTGTTACTTGAATGGTGTGAATGTAATTCCGTCATTTTCATTAAAAATATTTACAATGTTTGTTTTTTTTTTCATCTGGCGCACTTTATTGTTAAAATAATAAAAAAAATGATATATTGTGACGCTTAGCTGTGCGAGTTTTCGAATTTTTGAGTTGTCATAACTTTGTTAATAATGAATATTTTTTCATGAAATTTTGGTCACACCTATTTAGAGGCACTCTGAATCCAGTGGCGTAGTGATTTTTTCAATAAAAAAATCGCTAATGAAAAATCCCGATTTTCGACTAAGAAAAAATATCGTAGTATGCCCTGAAACTTTAATAAACATTTCAAATTTTGTCCCAAGGTAGACCGTTCAGTACTTGACATCAAAAAAAATTATTAAAATCGATTTACAACTTCAAATTTTGGGGGGGTGTTTCCATTAAAAATGGGTCACACTCTATGTCTGATATTATTAACATTTTACTAATATAACAAAATGTTTTTATGTGAGCAACATTTATTGTTATTCGTATTTATTTATATAATGTTTCCAGTGATTTGTATGAGATTGTTGAATTATTTTGTTTCTCGTTCTTCCTAATTCAACCACATACGGGGTAAACCCTCAGTGGATTTACTTCAAGATGTTATATTTTGTATGCAACATAGATGAATAAATATTATTATTATTCAATAATCAAGTTATTAATTATTAATATAAAAATATATTTGTTGATTTGAAGGATGAACGTTATTTGTTGCAGGGGTCGCTGATAAACCAAGATTCAAGGCCAGAATACCAAAGAGTGCAGGTAAAAGTTAATTCAGGATATTTTGTAATGAAATCCACCGGAAACCAAATTAGCAGCAGGCTGAATAGCCTAGTGGACGCAAATGGACTAGCATTAGTTATTTCACGTCAAAAGTTGACAAACTTCAACGTTCTTCTTTTCGACGAAATATCATGTTAAGGCTCTGTTATAAGAAAGTTGTATCGATCTGAGTTGTGATTTATAATAAATGTTTTCTTCCATAATGACTTTTGTTGAATTTGTTCGCCAATATCATAAACATCAGTTTTGTCTCCAATTAAGTAAGATAACGAACTAAACCATCAGAAAAAGTTTAGGGTTACCAATTTATCAATCTGCAACCTCGTAGATGAGCCCCGAAGTAGTCGACCTACGGTGGTCCAGAATGAGGATTCGAGGCCTCTGGGGAGACTCATCACAAATGGTGCGTGGGATAGTGGAAGAACTGGGTGTAGCCCCCATGCGGTTTTTAATGGTGTAAAAGGTTTTGGAAAGGTCATAAAGCTCGAAAGGTGGGTGCCTCGGGATGTGAACGATCGACAGAATTTTTTTACGTTTCGAAATATGTTCCTCCTCGCTTTCGCGCAACCAGAACGATCCTTTTTTGGATCGGATCGTCAAGTGTGATGAGAAGTGGGTCCTCTACTTCAACAGGAGACGTTCAGGACAGTGGTTAAACACCGATGAGCCTTCCAGGCACTTCCCAAAGGCGAAAACCCACCAAAAATGACCAAGGTGGTCAGCGGCTGGTGTGATTCACTGTAACTTGCTGCAACCAGGCCAAACCATTACAGCAGAGTCCTACTGTGAGGAAATCGATGAAATATCCAAGAAAATGTGTCAGCAGCAGCTGACACTGGTCAACAGATCCTGCTTCACGACAACGCCAGTCCGCACGTTTCATAAATCACCATCCAAAAATTAAACGAATTGAGCGACGTAGTTGTGCCCCATCCACTATTCTCACTAGATCTCTCGTTAACCGACTACCATATTTTCCAGCATTACGATAATTTCCTCACCGGTAGAACCTTCGCCAATCAGCATCATGCCAAAACGGCCTTCATCGACCTCATTGAATTCCGAGCAACCAATTTGTATGCTGACGGAACTAATCAACTTGCGTTATGGTGGTAAAAGTGCAGTGATTCAAATGGTGCTTATTTCGATTGAATTGAATAAGCTCACAGTTCAAAGTAGCCTCATAAAAACGGACAGTACTTTTGGCACATCTTAATTATAACTGATTTTCATAAATATAAGTCGATGAGTTTTAAATGAATTGTCTCGCCAGCAAAGATATTACAGTTATAAGATATATTGGATACTGAAACTGAAAATAATTTTGAGATTATCAATCCGAGTATTTTTTTCACATCCGTTTTATGCTGATTGTCGCCTAGAAAATTATTCAATGGACCAAAGGTATCAATCAGACAAATACCGGATGAACTATTCTGAATTTCAAAACTTTTATTGTGAAAATCTCTTCATCAATGGTAGATGAAACCTAAATCAGAGATTTTTGAGACAATATTCAATTCTTTCTGAGAATTGCCAATACATTAATTTTTGATTATCAAATGAGATTACCACGTCAGTTAACTACGTTTATTTTTCAATATTTGAGTGTCTGCAAATATATTTACAATCGTTAATCTATTTTTACATATACGTATCTTTTCATATACCTATCCAAATGAATTAATAACAATGATACATGTTCTTACACACAACAATATGAGAAGATGTTCTTATATTTTTTTCATCGACCTTTTTTGGGTATTTGTTCCCTTCCACAATCTGAAAAATATAAACATTATAGTGGAGAACTTCATGCATCTGTCGAAGAAGAAAGAAATTATCAAAAAGTAATAACTGCCAATATATTAGAATTTTTTTTTGTTCACTTCTGAAGACGGAGGCAGGAGGAGACAAACAAATATCAAAAACCGTAGTTTTTTCAGTTGAATTTCCGCATATTTCTCAAATATAATCATAACTTCTAGTGGTAACAAAAAATAAGCTATATTACACGCGATTATTCACATATACAATCAGTCCTTAGATTTTATAAAAAAATATATAGTAGGTTCTAAACAATTTTGAAGATTTCAAAAGGTTTGCACCACAACTTCTCCTCCAAACTGTAATTCGGTTTTGGATTTCTGGTAGTTATGGCTATGTCTAGAATGTCCAAGGCTCTCTTAGATAACACCACTGGTTGGTAATCCATACAGCCGGTTATTTCCACGGAAGTTTCTTGCTGATCTTGTTGACTGAAAATTTATAAAGTTATTTTAGTTATGAAGTAAGTTTATTCAGAATATTCACGGTTTCAACCCGGGTATGTAAAATGTTTATTTCAATCTGAACATATTAGTACATATCTAGTACATATTAATGTATAAAATTGTAAAACCAATACTGAAATATGTTTCATTTACTCGTATTACTGAAGAAGAAAATCAAAGTTATCCAAATTTCAAATTGTAATTGAAGAAAATGATGATTTTTTGAAATCCATGTTGTTCTTTAGTGAAACATCATCATCATTTATATACTTCTGTAACTGTCCTTCTTACAGTTCAAGTCTGGTCAAAAATTATTCGGACGACAGAGACTCCTGTTAGAGAATCTGTCATCTCTGCTGTAGTCTAAAAATTATTTGTTCTTCGGAAACATGAATGAACAACAGATTTTTGTCCGATCAAATCAGAAGAATTGTAGGTGGGATTGGGAAAAAGATTAGCTGAAAAATAACAATTATATTAAGCAACAAACTGAAATCACAATGAAATAAAATACAAGCAACAACCAACAAATCAAAATAATGAACTATTGAGAGATGAAAATTATGGAGAAGGAAGTCCTCAACGAATTCTTAGACGTATTGGTAAAGAGGACCGACACTAAATGGGAAACATCTGTATACCGAAAACCCACTCATACGGGACAGTATCTGAACCACGAATCCAACCACCATCAATCGACTAAAAGAGGAATCATCAAGACTCTAGTAGACCGTGCTTTCGGGCTCTGTAATACGAAGGAAGGTCTCGAAAAGAAACTAGGCATCATCAAAAATGACCTTCAACGAAATGGTTACTCCAAAGTGGTGGTACAACAGGCTTGAGCTAGAAGACAGCAAGAGCTCCACAAGAAAGAGAAGCTGCCACAACCAGTACTTGTACTTCCCTACATCAGAGGATTATCAGAAAGGATAAGAAGGGTGGGGTCCAAGTATAACATCAGGACCTGCTTCAGATCTGGGAACACTATCCGTAACAGTCTCACAAAAACCAGGCCACCAAACGCGGACTGCGATTCCAAAAATTGCATTCACCGGATACCCTGCGGGTGCGGAGAATCATACATCGGTGAAACTAAGAACCATTGAAAGTTTGCATTGCCGAGCACAAGAAACACACACAGCGAGAAATAGCAAATCGGGAATAGCAGAGCATGTTTGGACTAATCAATATATCATCATATGGGCTCAAGCTGAAATCATCCACAAAGAGGACCACTGGTTCAGGAAAAAATTCAAAGAAGCCGCATATATGTTATCCCAAAACGCATTTAGCCAAGCTGGCGTAGAGATACGCAACATATGGAAACTTCTAATCAAGCGAAACACGACCAATTCCTGCCAAACGATCAGCTTCCGCTTGAACCAATGAAGCGGAGAGAGGAAAGAGGGGATAGATGAAAGCACTCAAATGACCTATAAATAGTCAGATCTCGGAGGAATAAGTCCAGTTATCATCCGAAGACTATTGTGGATAGTAACAATCGAAACGTCGTGAAGCAACTTTCAATTTTCATTTCTAGTTAATAATTTTTTCAATTTCATCTCGTGTTAATAGTTCAATTTTTTGATTTTACGGTTGTTGCTTGTCTTTTATTTAATTGTAATTTCAAGTTTTTTGCTTAATATAATTGTTATTTTTCAGCTAATCTTTTTAATTTTTTACAGTCCGAAATAATGAAATGCACCAGAAAAATTAGTTGGTTGGGGAAAAAATCTCGTTATTTACATTTTCAACAAACAGAAGTATTCATGAACATACATATTTTCACAGGAAGTTTATATCAAAACGTATTCAGTATATATTATTTTTTTCCATAAAAAACCTTCAAACTCTTCGAAATTACTCGAAAAAATGTGACATACCGTGGAATAATTTTGTTCAACTAACCTGTTAATTTTAGGTGCGGAAAACAATAACTCCGGCATGATTCCTTGCGGATTAATGGTAACTACTTTCACGCCTACTTGGGACAATTCCTGCCTGAGGGCCTTACTAGCTCCTTCCACTGCGTACCTACTGGCCACGTAGGCCACCAGACCGGCGCCCAAGTTCTCTGTTGCTCCCACCGTTACTATTCGTCCGCCTGCGTTGCGTAACAAACTCTGGAATTTTCTTGCTGTGCGGAGGATACCAACGACATTTGTTTTCAGCATAGCGTCCCAGTGAGCGATGTCCTGCTGATCTAAACGGCCTCGGTAGGATAGTCCGTTGGTGTTGATAACAGCCCACATACCTGATGGAGAAATACAATTATATCAATATTAATTTCAATGATTCAAAATTTATTTCAACATTTTCTCATGCAACTGGTATCGAACCGGCAGGAAGCCAACTGACTCTCCTTTGGTCTGCAGGGGTTACCATAATGGTATGCTCGCTTTCAAGAATTCGATGAAAAACCACCATATCCAATCAGTTTTATAGGGTCACATACCCTTACCGATGATTTGTCCACTCGCAATGGCAAAAGATGTTAAAGGTAGACACTTGAACTGAAGTTTGACCTAATACATTGTTTGAAAATCACTTGGTCCACAGAAATGCATGCTTGGCAGTGTACATGCACCCAAAGCATGCGCTTTCCACCCAGAATCTGATCATGGATCTAATCTTCCAGCCTTATCTATCCAGCCTGGTAACAAAGTCGGAGAAGTGGAAGAACGTTCCATTGGCAAGGCTGGACAGGAGACTCCCATCCATTTAGCACTGCAGCACTGCTTTGAAAGAATACGACTGCCAGTGGCTGTCAAAAAGTCACTAGTGAGAGGAAGAAACTAGACTTCAACCGAAAAATATAATCAACTGCGTGAGAGCTCCTCTACATTTTGAGAGCCTCTATGTGCGGATAACCATCGATCGATTACTAGGTGCAATCAATCCTTTCGAAAGGATTTATTACTGTCCCCACGTAAGAAGATTTCTGTTAAAGACTCTGACAACATGAGCATAATAAACTTCATGAACCGGTAAACACGGAAGGAGTTACTCCTTTGAAGGTTCAACTGTGCTATTTTAGACTTGTATGGGTTTTAAACTTGTGAAGGAAAAAGCTCCCTAGCCCACACCGCCATCTAGCTGTAATTTTCAATTGATAACTAGATGGGGAGCAGCAGATTTCGAATTGGTTCCTCATTCCTAAAATCGCTAGATATTGTTGAGTTTGTTGGATCTTGTAAATAACAGAGCAGCAACATGATTGAATTCGTGTAATGAGAATGTTAGTATCAACCATAGCACAGTAAGATGAAGTTTCCAAACCTCCAAAAAGGAAATGAAGGGTTGTTTTCTTAGGTCACCTCTTCTGCATCTCACTATAGCCATCGTTACTCCCAGAAATAGCTGTGAATACAGGAAGAGATTGAACAGTTTGATCTTCCTCTTGAAGATGATCACTTTTTGATCGAAACACGTGTTAAGGTGTTGAAATAATAGTTTGGTGTTGGGGTAAAACTCCAGTAATATTCATTACTAGACCAAAGGCTCCAAACAGTGCAGCACAAGTATTTTACGCACATGGAAACTGATCATAATGGTCTCAGTATCTGAAGTAATATGTGATCACAGAAGGTCGTCAAAGAGAGAGACGTAACTAGTTGCACTAGAACCGATCCACACCCACATTGAACTTACTACGTTTCAGACGTAATCTCACTATAGTATGGATCGCTTACAAGGGATTTTTTACACATCATATGCGTTTGTCATGTATTTGCTTGGATGCCTTCTTTATTCTGGATCTATAGACATCAAGGCTGAAAAAATTATTACGCTCATCTGGTCATCCAGATGACCAAGCAATTCATCTGCAGCTCTGATGTGACATTCAGATCAATTGTACGATAGATATTTCAATTTTATCTAATGCATCATGTTATAACTTCAGAAATTGTGTCGGTAGCTAAGTATAATACTTGGCTAATTGAAAAAATATAGCTTCAGAACTGTTATTAGAGAAATTATTATGATAACAACCATATTTCTTACCGTCTTCTCCTGCTGGCAAGTGAGCTCTGATGATGTCAACAGCTTCATGAAGAAGATCTTCCCTTGTAACGTCCAGAGGGAGGGCGATCAGAACTCCTTGACCTTGAACACTCTCTCTATGTTTTTGCCAAGCACGAATGACTTTGGCAGAGGTCGAGTCTTCGGAAGAACCAGACGCAGCTCCGTCTTTCAATCCGGCGAATACTCTGAATCCTCTTGTGGCCAAATGAATGGCAATCTAAAATTAGATAATTTGGTGATGTAGAAAGAATTTTTTTGTTAAGAGTAGTTGCAGAAAAATCCACAGTGTCATCAGAAAAAGACAAGAAAATTTCATTAATTTGCTTGTATCGATACTGAGCAATTATTTCTCAATCTCCCCATAACATCGTTTATATAATGATGTAAGTAATTTGGACAAATCATTAAAAAGTTAGCACGATAACTTGACGCAACGTAGTAAGCCATTACTCGTCGCGTCTACTGTAAGACGACGGGGGACGATGCGCGGGCAGACGTCGTTGACGGTTGTGTTAGTTTTGAGAATTTCTCTATAGGTAACATTATTCGATTCGCGAAGCTATTCATTACCTAGTGCAGTTGGCATATTTTTTCAGTTGGGGTATTTTTAAAGTAAAACTATAAATTACTAGTTGTTGGCCGCTCTTATATTAACGTACAGCCAAAGCTGCTGAATCTAGAATCTTGAAATATACATTTTTCAACACTGGCGCCAGCCTCGGAAGTAAAGGAGGCGTCCATAAAACAAAATTATCTTCTCATCACTACTTCTTCATGTCCTTAAATTTCTGGTCGGTGAATTTATATTCAGTATCACCCGCGCGAGCCGGGGCGGTTCATTGGTATTGAAAATAATTGTAGAAAGCTATTGAGGTATGATTGCTTGGTATTGTACTCTTTGGTATATTGTAGACAATTATACCCCAATGAAATAACTCAAAAATTAGCTCAATATGCAATATTATTAAGGAATTCCTGGAATGGGTGAATTTTTCATTTTCAGTCACTGTTTTTTTTAAATAATATTTCAAGATACCTTCCAGTATTGACGTTTATCACCGGTCTTTTGAGAAGTGGTCACCTTTGTTATTTTCCAATTTCCGGAATTATCTTTCCGAGCTGACTTTAAAAATGTACCACATTTTGCGTCAAATTGACCTTTAACCGTTATAGACAACAGACCTCAATTTTTAAATATACTCACGAAAAAAGTCTAATGGGCTAAGATAGGGTGATCCAGTGGATCATCCAGTGGTTCCTCTTATTGCTCTGTGTATTTGTTGTTTTTTAAAAACTTCCATCATATATATCTCCAATTCGTATTATCTTTTGAGATAGTTCTGGAATATGAGATAAACATCAGTTGTGAAAAGTATTCTTAGTTGTTGAGTCGGCAATTGTTGAGTTGGTGGTTGCAGAATTTGTGATGCTGTTTTCAGAGTCATTCCGTTTTCAATTGACTGTTTATTTTGCATTGCATTCACTATTGGATCTACGATTGAAACTGGATACAATTTTCAGCAATACTGCAGATAGCTTTTCCTTTGTTATAGAGACAATTTATTATACAGTATTCAACACTCTCATGATAGTTTGATGTATAATGGAGTTAGTAGTGTTTCCTTTCGATGATTATTTTAAACAGCATGGAAAGGAACTTGACCATTTTGTTCAATCTCTATTGAAAACTTTATTGTCGGTTCCTGTTCGGTTATATGATTTCAAAAGGTATCCAGATCAATATGATTTTCATTCCTATTATAGACGTCATCAACATATCTCCACCAAAATTTTACATTACAATTTTTATATATTTTTATGATGTTCAAGAAAAAATACCCAAAAAAGATTTATCATTTAGCTCATAATAAATTTAACCAATATATCAAAGACAGACTGTATAAATATAAATATAAGTAATAACTGTATTCCTTCAAACAAGCAGTTATACCGTAAAAATAACATACTGTATATCACTGAAATAATCATGCGTTCGAACACTTAGTTAAAATCATTAGCTACATTACTGGTGGTGTTCACAACATCTGCACTGTGAAATTTTTCACCTACAACTTACCTGTAATCCAATCGCATTGTCCGCCGAGGTCACTAATACCGGTTTGCCAGCACCTGGAGTACTACCATCCGAAAGATCACTACCGCTGCCCCGTATTTTGCAGAGAAGGTATAGTAAGAGAGCACCGGCTATCGAGAAAAGCGCCACCAATTGTAAGGCCAGGACCAAGGCGGTGTTTTCGTCCATTGACAATCAGTCTGAAAAAAAGTAGCATAGGCTTTCAAATATTCTGCTGTTAGCGATTGACACTTTTGTAATCTGTCAATTGACACTTTCTAAATCAAGATGCTTAGAAACCTTGGTGTTTTCCACGATTCGCTTTTGTTTTGTCAAAAATATAGACGCGAGAAATGTGATTACCCAGCTTTGTGCACATGTTGATAGATGATGCAAGAATCGAAATCTGTCGCACGTATCTCGTTCAGATCTTTACCGAATGTCAACAACATTGAAAATTTAAGTGTCAACTTGACATTGTCAAGCTGCCTTTTATATATAGGCCCGAAACTATATAATACCTAAACCACCACTTCAAATTTGAAAGAAATTATGAAATCAGTTCCTTTAAATACCAAATAAAAAAATGAAAATAAAATAAACAAAAATAAATAAATGAATAAACATAAAATTAATCAAATAAATGAACTAAAAAGGAATAAAAAAGCCCTTCTCAATTTTACTCTTCTCTACTCAATTTTACTTAAAATACACATACCATTTATTGACCTATGTTTTTTATACAGAAAAAATTAAATCACATCAAAATTTAAAAAAAAATATCTCTTCTCGTGCAGAAATATGCACTACAAGCATTTATGCTTAGGTAATTTCTGTACAGGATTATATAATCTGTAACAACAATATAAATTGTGAAAATGACAATTATAGAATGAATAAAGTTTGATTTTATTTGACTTGATTTTATTTGACATTTGAAGTGTTCTTCTAAAACATCTCTATACTACATTTATTCTATGCAATGTTTTCCTGCGAAGTCGTTGAACTCGATCAAGCACACTTCAAGGAGACCACACCATAATAAGTGGATGATTGAAAGTCGGTCAGAAATCAATAGTCAATTAAAACCTACTATTGGCATTTGTCTACGATCACTTTTCACCTTAATTCTCGGAAATGGCAGCCTATTTCACGTAACAAACCAATTCTAAATCAGTTACGCATTTCTATTAGCAATTAACGTTCTTGTCGTTCTTGTGAGTCGTTTCGATATGATTTTCAGCTAGTTAAGGACAAATTAGAATGTATCAGAGGCGTAGAGATAATTTTTTGGATCGTGTTATTGTGTAAGAGTTATTTGTCTTGAGTTGTCGCAAGATGTATTTCGTCAGGTGCTTCATTCATAAATGATTTTATTTCATCTGAGGTAAGAGTATTCGTCTTTTTCGGTATCTAACCATCGGATTTGCACGTTTTATTGGGTAACGTTCTATATTTACGTCACGGTTGATGAGAACTTTATTTCTTCCCATTGGCTTCAAACGTGGTTGTAGATACACCGATGATGCAGAACGCAGTGGACATCAAAATGAGACAGTAACACCACAAAACAAAAAATTCTACAAAATCGTTTCGAATGATGAAAAAGTGAAATTGCGTGAGTTAGCTGACATTGTAAAGTTATCAAAAGAACGTATCTGTTTCATACTGCATGAGTATTCGACTATAAAAAAGCTTGTTTGAAGGTGATTGACAATGTTTCGTGATGAATTTCACTAGTTCGGACTTCCATTGTCTATTATATAAAATGATTTGAAATCCCTGAAACAAGTAAAAAAGAATAATTAAAAAAGAATAGTTGAAAATAACAATTATATTAAGCGACAATAAACCTGAAATGAAATGATAGTGAAATAACCTACAAGTAAAGTAATATAATTGTTATTTTCAACTATTCTTTTTAATTATTCTTTTTTACTTGTTTCAGGGATTTCAAATCATTTTATATAATAGACAATGGAAGTCCGAACTAGTGAAATATAAAAAAGCTATGCACAAAGTGGGTGCCACGCGATCTCACTGTTGACCGAAAACAAGAAAGTCTTAATGATTCTGAGCAGTGTTTGGCCATGTTTGAACATTACAAACCGGAATTTTTGCGTCTATATGTGACAATAGATGAAATATGGATTAATCACTTTACTCCGGAATCAAAACGATCGACATGTGAGTGGAGAGCAGCTGGTGAACCTCCTCCAAAGCGCCCCAATGCATAACAATCGCTGGAAAGGTTATGACCTCGGGATTTTGGGATGTGCGTGGTGTAATATTCATTGATTATCTTGAGGAGGGAAATACCATCAACAATGAATATTATATGGCGTTATTTGAGCCTCTGAAGGTGAAATTGCAAAGAAACGACCGCATAAAAAAATTGTTGTTTCCTCAATACAACGCATCGTGCAACAAATCAATCAAAACAATGGCAAAACTACATGAATTGAACTTCAAATAGCTCCCACATCCACCTACACTGAGTGTAGGTCATCGTCCATTCTGTCCTTTCCAGGAAGGTGGGCAGGTCACTGGAAGACATCTCCTCTTATTGACGATAAATCCGGACATTCGCATAGGACATGCCTTCCTGTTCACATATCCTGCATAGAGGTGTAACCACTAGCCCCATATTGTGGAGGTGTTTCCTTAGTTGACAGTGGCCAGTCAGAAATCATACTGTTAAGCGTAGATTTTTCCTGGTCATTGTTAAATATTTCTTCGGCGCCAGCTTTCCAGGGTCACCCAGGGTGATCCTGACCAGATTGCATCCTTTGATTCCATTCCATCTCTTTAGGGATTGAGCATGGGTGTGACGTTTGACTGATTCCGCAATTGTCGAAGACATCAGGCCTCACCTAATCCTTAGGCTTAGTGATTTTGAGTATACCCCACATCATGAGCCTTCTTTGGTTTTTGAGCCGTTGGTTTGTATGCGTATTGCATTTGTAGCATCTGACTCTGTGAATTTCACTAGTTCGGACTTCCATTGTCTACTATAAAAAATGATTTGAAATCCCTGAAACAACTCAAAAAGAAGAATTGTAAATGAATAGCTGAAAATAACAACTATATGAAATGAAATACAAGTAATATAATTGTTATTTCCTATTCAATTTTAATTCTTCTTTTTTAGTTGTTTCAGGGACTCCAAGTCATTTTATATAGTGAACAATGGAAGTCCGAACTAGTAAAATTCATAATGAAACATTGTCAATCAACTTCAAACAAATCTGACTCTGTATTTTGTTTCATTTGTATTCAGGTTTGTGTTCAATAAACCAGACGTTTATTGAACACACACCTGGGTTCAATTGCATCACTGGTTGTCTGCAGCAGACGTTCTTGCCATAGGCTCAGCCTTCATTGACCCATTCCTACTTAGAGGTTTTGGCTGCAATCGTAACATGGCCATTAACGCAACCCGTCATTTGATACATTTTTTCTATCTCTTTCTGTTAAGTATTCTTAACCCTTTACCGCATGAATTTTCATTTCATAGCGAAAAAATTGTATGAGATGAGAAATTCAACCCTATTTGATGGAAAAATATTTTTTTAAAAATCAATCCCTGTTGATTTTCATGATTTTTGAAAAAATCTGGTTTGTGCCATATATGGAACATCAGGTGATATTGACTTGGCAATACATTATTAATTTGAGACTAAGAGGTATAGTTTATTCATAAAAAATCATTCAGTATGAAAGCGTAAATAACAATTTCGATCCTTATTAAGGCATAATGGAATTTGGCATTTGGTGCACATCACAAAAGTTTTTCCTGAGTAACCAGGGTATTTACATCTTGATCTACATGTTTCTTGTCAGTGTGGGAAATGATCTATACTATCTGTTCTGATATCTTCTTGAGGAATTTCTTTTGTTGGCCCTTTTTTTCTTTTATATTCATACATTTGCTGGAGGATCACGCTCGGAGGCCTTCCTACTCTGTTAACCCTGCTTGGTTTTCCTGCTAAACAAAGCGCGTCTGCAATTGCCAGTTTGGTATCCAGAAGCACAATATCAAACTTTTTTGCTCTTCTAGCAAGTAGCCAGCTATTCACGGCAACCAAGTCGGTGAAATGAAAAAAAAAAATGCGCAAGTAGTATTTTTTTGACCTTATTTTTATGCGATAGAAACCCAACATCGCATCTAGGTCCACTCCACCCATATACTTATTATAAATGAGGACACTCTTTGTTCAAGGTATCATTATATGTGCATTCTCTTGCTTGAAAAATATCCGCTTTTCTCCTACTGCTTGACTTCCTGCATACGTTGACAAAGTGGTGACTACTTTGTTATCAAACCAAGATACAACACTAATGACCTCACCATCTATAGTAGCTATTTTTTCTCTCCTCTTCCTTTTTTTTTTCATTTCTTTCTCGGAAGGCATTGCAACTCCTGGGACTCGATTCAATCTCACCGTCCCTAAGGGTATTATACCTTCAGTAGTCAAATAAGTCATGAGTGGAACACTGGAGAACCAATTATCAAAAAACAATTTGAAATTCTGATGTCTTGGTATAGATTCAGATAGCTTCACAACAACATTACTACTAACACTGAGAGTTGGAGCTCCTAGAGGTACAGTATTGCTTTGTGCTCCTGCAAATAGATCGGAATCATAACTAAAGCCATATATACTGCTGAGGACAACATTTTTGAAACCCCATTTATGTGGTTTCTTCGGATTATATTGTTTGAGTTGTGTTCGAGCTTTTGTTGGAATAATCTGTTCATCTACAGCAAGATACTCTTCTTTCGGAACTTGCAGTAATCTTTCTCTTATTTGGGTAAGAAATGGCCTAATCTTGAACAATTCACCGTATCCAGTTGGACTGTTTCCAGTCATGTCATCATTGTTGCTCACAGCAGGATAGCCGATCGTATTATGCCAGTAATGCCTTGTGGCCGGTAGCTGAATAAGGGACATGTACATGGTAATACCGATATATTGCTCTATTTCGAACTCTTTTATATCAGCAGGTTTATTTGGACGGCACTGTACAGAAAAAAAGGTTAGTCTGTTCACATATATACTTTATAAGGCTATCTGGGAAAAAAAACTTGAAGAATTGGATAGGAGTTTCTAACTCTGATATAGAAAAACGCAAATCCTGGGAACCAGTAAATTTTTTATCTTCTTCAGATTTTTCGAGATTTCCTTCTACCCAATTG